GCGCCCGAACTAAATGGGTGTTGGATGATGATTCTCCTCACCCAGGATTTGGCAATTGGGTCCCCTAAAGCCCCAGTCGCCTTTTAAAAGGGGGAGTATATAAAATATTTCTCCCGCCTTCTTGGTATGGAAATCTGCACGCTGGGCGCATATTCCAGAGGTCCGCGTTTTGATTCTCGATGAAGGTTCTTGTTTAAAAAAAATCCTAATGTCTCTACAAGTGTTGTACCTTCATATAGTTTCTGGTATTGTAACCTGGTTAATATATTTTAAGGTTCCAATAAGCCACTAATATAGCAGAGGTGATAAGTTGTTTTGTATTATTTTAAGTCTCACTAAATGCAAAGAACAAGTTTACAATAGTTTTTACATTTTTGTGCCATAACTTGTGGCCACAGTAATGATTAATGAAAAGTAATAACTTGCTTTAATATGCATAGATAACTTGCAGATGAGCAGCTAGTTATAAATAATTAAATTAGGTAGTTAACTACCCTCAGTCCTTATAGATTTACATGACCATTATTAAAATCACAATCTAATAACATTTCACAGTTTAAAATACACGTAATTTTACTGACACTGATTCTTAAACAGTATTAGGATAATTACACATTAAAAGTTACAAAACAAAATATTTATGTGTCTTTTTAATTCGAAGTGTTCCTAAACATTTTGGCTAATTTATATCAATTTCTTCTCTTTAAACATCTTTTCTAACAATTAGAAATCTGTTTCAATACACAAACCAATGTTCCCACTAGTTCCTGCGTGCTTTATCTCCTAACTTGTAGTTTATGAACAGTGTACCTAACGAGGTTTTACATGATCTGGTAAAAGTTAAATAATCCAAAACCTCTGTTAGATATGAAGCAAATTACTGTTATGTCTGAAGGTAACTACAGCGTCACATCAAGATTTAAATATACCTCTTATTTAAAAAGATGTTGGAACATACAGGCACATTCTTATGTTATGTTGACAAAATATACTACAGCTTTTGGTGACGCAAATAAACAGGAACAGCCAAATTCAAACTAAAATGTAGACTAGTATTCAAAGAATACGCAATTTAAATTTAATCTAAGATGACTCAGAAACTGTATTGTAGTAACAAATTCAAATATTAGCAATGATAATGCAAAGATTAATAATTACAAATTATCAGATGTAGTAGGAACTAAGGCAACATCCAAGTGGAGGGCAATTTTTGTCTTATAATCCAAAAATCTCAGTTTAAAACTATCTGATTTGCATTATGGTGAGGAAACGGAAAGGGAAAGCTATAGTAAACGCTAAAATTCTAAACAACTGATTAATTTGCATATGTATTCAGTTTCTTTCAATATGTTTCCTCTTCACTTCAAAATTTTTAGAATTAAAGATTTCTGTTATTCTAAAAAAACCAAATGCATTTAGAATATAAAGGAAAAGCTGCTAATTTTATTTCTTTAGTAATATGAACATTCAGAATAAATATGAAATGATACATGGTTAGGGCTGGTTTGAGCCGATGAGGCAGAATTTTTAGATTTTAGTGGCACGTCGAGCAACAAAATCTAGAAATGGTAAAACTTTTAGAATTTAGGACAGGGACTGGGAGCAGAATTTAGGAAGGCAATAGGTGGCAGAATTTAGAAACCACAGAGATTTTATCAGGTGGGAAAAAGCCCAGCGCCAGCCCTGTGTGTGATCCATTGAGACGTATAAGGTAAATCTTTTAAATTGTCAGTTTTCAATTTCTTTATTAATAAAAAAATTCGTTTTTTATAAATGAAAGATTAAAAACATTTTTGGTATTCCCGATACTTGCGTCTAGTGTAAAGTTGAGAAAATAAACAGGTTAAGAAAAAGACTTCTAGCATCAGAAGTACAACATTCAAACAATATATTTTCAGTGTCCTTCTAAAAATTCTTCACAATGTATGAAATTCATCATAAAATTTCTGTAAAATACATCCATTATGTGTCAATACAATGAAGATATTTTTATTTTGTCACATTTTAATGGAGCCTTTTAGAATTGTGGGTCTGTAAATCTTGCCTTCAAATCCTTCTAAACTTTCCAAGTTACAATGTCTAAAATCCTAAAGAAAAATTAGCCTTACCAATTCTGTAATAGAAAAAAGGCCAGAAATAGTTTGAAAAAAAAAAAAAAAATCGGTGGAAAAAAGTGTGAAATTAATTTTATAGAGAAAACTGATGCATATTCTAATAATTCTTAATATTCTGAAACAATTACATGGGAAACCTTTTTACAATGAAAAAATTGAAGGCAACAAATTTTTGCTTAATTACATAGCTATTTTGCTTTTGCTATGAATTGTTTTGTAAACTGTGCTTTATAACATTTATTATCTTGTTTATTTTTTCTATTCAAAATACTGTATAATAAGTCGCCAAAACGGAAAGTAATGTCTCTTCATAATATGACAGCAAAAAATACAAATGTTTTATTTTAATGTTATTTCCTAAATATAATTTTAATATAATACCATTAATTTAGTTAAATTTATCAATGTTATAATGTTTTAAAAAAAATCGCCGAAATACTCATAAGTCAAAAAATTTCGAGCCGTTTTATAAAAGAATTCACATTCACAAAAGCGGACAGTTGTTTCTCTTCATTAGAAAAAAATGAAATAATTTAGAAATGCTTGTTTCATTTCTTGCTCAGAAACTCCAAGTACCCCACCCTTTATATTAGAAATAGGAACAAATTATAACCCATGAACTAATTCAAAAGATAATCATATTTGTCTGTGAATCGCCAAAAATATTCCTCCAAAATGATAATTCACACTCAAAACAGCAGTTGTAAAAACAAGACCGAAATTTCAGATGATTAAAATTAAGGACCTTCTGACAATTTTGACCGAAATTAAGGACTTTTAAGGACCAAAATCAATTTAAAAAAATGTAGGTACTTTTAAGGACTCTTAAGGACTGTAAGAACCCTGGTTAAAGGCAAACATCTTACAGGCCTCAGTAAGCATAACCCTGCCTCAGAGAAACGCCATGTGATGGTGGACGGTACCGCGGGAGGTATAGACGTGGTTGTAATGTGTTGAATAGTCGAACAATGATACCGCTGGGGCTGTTTGGGCCTGGCAAACAATCATCCTATCTTGCCTCGCATTTATGCTCCTTGGCCTTCCAGAGCCTTTTCATCCGCAATTTCCTTGTAGCAACCACTGCTGCCAACATCTTTGCACAGCAGTATCTGCACACTGTAGGTGGCAGGCTATTGCTTGGTATGATCACCTAGCTTCACGCAACCCTACAATGCGACCACGTTTTATGTCGTTTAGTTGTCTGTAAGGTCTCTGATATCGTCGTAATGGCATCTTTACAGAATCACAATGGCAGCAACAAAAAAAGATAAATTTTCCACCTCTGTTACTGGTTTTATACTTTGCAAATTGCATGCTATGATCGCAATTCCTGTTCACTTGCCTTGAAACATTTATCATTTGTATATTCGATAAAGATATTTTTGCATACCAAATTTTGTCACTATCGCAAAAGTCCTTCTTGGTGCTTCGATTTTTTTGCAAAAGGGTGTATAGTGTAATAAAAAAGCATGAAAATTCTGTAGATTAAAAAATGCCCAGAATATTTCCAATAAATATTATGCTAAGTGTGATTAGTTATTAGAAGGTTAATTATAATTCATACAAACAGTCTACCAATGAGAAATTTCCCACATTTTCTGCAAATGAAAATGCTTTCTTCTTGCACATTTCTTTAAAATCATAGTTGCCATCATATTTTTAAAGAAAATTAATACCTTCAACAAATATTTACAACTGTTCGTTAAGATGCATTTACTTGCTAAACTGGATAATATCAGATGGGATAGAAGAGCTTATTACAAAGCTACATACACACTTCCAAGTTGTAAATTCAATTGTATTTATATGGCATTGAGAAAGTATGAAACATAATTAAACTTAGTAGAGAGAATTTTTAAAATGTTTTATTTCAATTATCATGATTAGTGAATTATCCATGCTTCCTTACATTTGCTAATATTTTAAAAACATTTAAATAACCTGTAGTCTCACCAGAGATCATTCCTCACATCAAAGCGATTTAAAAACTTCTGCTACAACACCCTACCATGCTACAACCTGCTTTTTCTCCCACTATAGCTAATTTGCTATAGCCAATATTTGCTCAAAACAGCAAATTACTTTTTTAGAACATTACTCAGAAATATTTTTGGTACTTACAACGACTGGCAATAGTTAACAGAGGAATTCTAAAGGGTATGGTCATCCATATTTGGCGTTACTTGGCCAGTCAACAATACAAAAAAAAAAAAAAAAAAAAAAAAAAAAAAAAACTTATTTTTTTAATTTTAATTCACTTGAATTAAGTAAGTATGAATTGAGATAAAACAAAAATGCTACAGAAATTTAAAGAAATAATGCTAGAGCAAGCCTTTTAAAAATTTAATTTTTTAAAAAAAAGTTTAATGACTTTACTTGCTTGTTTCTCAAGACTTCATTAGTATTTTCATTTTTGAACTTTAATTCTTAAATGCTAATTTCTAAGGGTACCACTTTATTGGTATTTCTTTTTGGACATTCTTCACTTTTTACTTTTGGTTTTGACTTTTACCAATGCCTGCATGAATGACGAAAAACGAATTGAATGATTGGAGAGTTAGGTCTGGAAGCAACTTCCCCTTGATAAGTCCGTCTCCTGCCTGCTCAACAGTCATTCACTTATGCATTTAAAAAAAAAAATTGTTTGGATTAATTTTAATTTGCTAAAGTAGTGAATTTATTTTCATGGATTGTTTTTGCACTTGATTTGCTTATGCTTCTGAATTTAAATGATATTATAGATTAGTTCGAGAATTAAATCTTTTATGTTTAGACATTTTTTTTAAATATTTAAAAAAAATTTTTTTGGCTTTAAATTTGCTTTTTTACTTTTATACATGTTTGTTAAAATTTAAATTTGTTTAAATTTAAAAACAAAATACTAACTTTCTTCCGAAAAATAGGTTTTGTCTGCCCACCATAACCTTGTTGTTTTCTATCATATCTCCTCTTTCCTGAAAGGCAATAAAAAATAAATAAGTAATTTCACGCTTCTCACATGTTGAAAAGTTACAAAATAATTTTGTACGTCATAAAACTATTTTACAATAACAAATCATTCCCAATGTTACCATAAACTAAAATTATATATTAAACACAGTATAAAATCCAAGATTCAGACTTGACAGGACTTCGGTGATTACGATTATTACTTTAAATCTAGTAACACAACATATAGAAATTATAAAATTATGATTTCTGACATGAAGCATTTACAACATCAAGGGAATCAAAATTTACTAAAAAATAAATAAAATAAAACTCAATATTTATTTATCTGCTGTATTAAACATTTCAGTCAAAGAAATTTAATTTGCTTTGATTTTTGTACAAATAGTTTCTCATTAATTCCACAGATAACCTTACTTTGTAACTAAGTACAGTTATAATGTATGAAGCTTTCTATCCTTACTCAGTTACAAAGTTCCATTGTTCAAGTACCAAACTTCTAGCAGCATTCCAAAAATCAATTTATTATTTATTATTATTACATTGTTGTTAACAGTGAGAGATTTCTGAATTGAAAGAATTTATCTTTAGATGCCAGTATAAGGCATACAATTTTAAGTAATAAACATATAAAATACACAAAAACTAAAATTTTTGCTGGTAATTAAATTGCTATTAATAATGCTAAAATGCAGGGTCAGAAGAGTTTTTCATGTGTTAAAAATATTACCAAGACCTTTTTTTCATATTTTTTAAGTAAATATGAAAGGTGATGTAATAGGGAGATGTATGTTGTAATTAGATATTTTTAACCAAGACAATATTTCTGAAAAAAGGTCACCGTTAATGTTTACACATTAAACTCGAGTTGAAATAAAATGGAGCTTGGTATAAAAAAATAACTGCAATTTGGAAAAAACTTTCAAAACTAAACTTAAATATTTATCTAGCCTACACACATACATGATCATTCAAAAATATCTGGCAAAAAAGTAAGAACAGAGAGAAGGACTCAAATAAGCAGATTTTGTAACATAATGTATATCAAAACAGCATTATGAGATACAGTGTGTTAAATAGTAAGCATTTTGTTAGCATAAATCATCCTTTTCTGTGCATATTGCAAGAAGTATGCTTCTATATATGAACATGAGACTTGTCGATATGCATTTGATCGGTTGAACTCTTTCTTAGAGGCAGCATCGAATGTTTTCAGCTCATCTTGACTCTTGCTAAGCTCTTTTACTCTCCTCGATGGCAAAAAAATCTCCTGATAAAAACTGGGCAAGCGAAAGCTTAAATGATAGTGACTCGGAATTTGATAACAGAATAGAATCGGATCACTTCAATAAATCTAACGCAAATGGAATTAGCAGGAAAAGAATTAAACAATCTTCCCCTAAGAAAATAGACGAACCAGCGTACTTAAAAGTTTAAAAGTGTTTTCCCTAATTTGGTAGCTCAGATAGAAAGCTAGACAAAAGATACTTGGAAACTCAGACCAGAACATGCAGACTGAAAGTACCGTGCAGAAACAATTCTTCAGTACATGGCTGAATTGGAGGAAGAGATTCCCACAATTGTTATTGCTGATGAAAAACTATGCACATTATAAAAAATCCTTCTTGAACCATAAAACGCGAACCAAAAAATGATCTGAAATTAATAGCTATTCACAACCTTAAAATGAAATACGAAAAAGAACTTAAAAGATTATCAGCAAAGAAATGCACAACCTAAATATATATAAAAAAAGATTCACTAGTAGAAGAATGGCAAACCCCATCTAAAACTTGCAAATCAGATTTAGCACTAACTCAACCTACTGAAATAACTCAAGAAAATAGATTTGATAAACTTTACACGGAAATGGAAATAAGCAGATTTTGTAATATAATGTATATCAAAAATGTCACACCTGCCATCCTTCGAAAGGTTATTGTTAGAAAAGCATTAACAACATATTACCTTGTTAAAATTTTACACCATAAAAATTGATTTATTCTCATAATTTTAGATGACAATAACCAATAAGAAAAATAAAAGCATTACTTATTTAAAATGCACATGCATATTTATGAGAGGCCTACGGAAACAAATTATTTTAGAGGTTGGAAACCTCATGGTTTTTAGAGCCGTGTTACAAATTAGCATTCACCCCTCCCGCTGTATTTTCTTCCTTTCATCCCGAACCGAGAACCGGCAACAATCTACGAAAATATTTCTATCTATTCGTTGTTAAAAAAATTCAGAAAAAATAATAAATAAGAGAAGAATAATATAAATCTGCAAATGTGAACGACAGTGATAATTCAACGAAATGAACGCAAGAATGGTTGCAAACTTGGAAAAAACGAATAGGAAAAATCTGCTGGGTTACCAGGTTTGAACTATTATCGCCAAAGTTGGCGATGTTTACATTTACAGAGTTCTCTGTGGAAGTGCTTCCTAAATCTGCAAATGCGAACAACAAGTTATAATTCAACAAAATGAACGCAAGAGGAATGGTTGAAAACTTCAAACAAGCGAATAAGATAAATACGCTGGGTTACCAGGTTTGAACTATTATCGCCAAACTTGGCAATGTTTACATTTACCGGGTTCTCTGCAGAAGTACTTCCAAAATTTTTTATATCATTAAAAAATAGAGAAAATTGCTTGAAAAAGTGGGTAAAATCCTAGTATACGGTGCAGCCTTGGCACGATTTTGAAAATTATTGCCAATACCAAAAATGACCCAAAGAACGTCTATGTATATATAATAATAGTATACTATACACTATCACTATATTCATAGTATATACTATGTATAAATATAATATATTCTTTGAATACCCGTTTATTACTCATTGTATATGTCCCGTTTTTACTGTTCACAATAAAAGTCGCAAAAAGTAGCCAAATCCTGTGTGCACCGGATACTAGGATTAAACCAAAAAGTGCATTTTAATAACACATAATGAATGATTCTGTGTGTCCTTGTGATATGCTGCTATCTTACTGTTTAAAAAGAAAAGTTCAAAATATATTATAAAGGCATTTTTACTATTTACGGTTGAATTTAAAGGTTTCAGAAGCAATTCAATTTGGGTGTACCATGTAGTGGAACACTGAGCCACAAAGGGTTAACAAAGCTAAATTTGACTTGATTGTGCTTAGTATGTTTAATAAGCTAATTTTTCGGTAATTTTAATGTATGTATGCTTAATATCATATCACATATTTAAAATGCTAAATTTGACTTGTACATGCTTCATATAAAGTTTTATTTCAAAACTTAATACGGGTTCAGTGTGGAAGCGTCAAGAGATTCATTGCGGAAGAAAACTCAACAGTCATCATTACATTCAATTGCACTTACTTACCTTGTGCCCATATAGATTCTTTTCCTTTTTTGTACTGTGTAACCTTATGCAATGTATGCTTCTTACACTTCCCTTTGCAAAAGGTGCGTCTTGTTTTCGGTACGTTTACCTGTCAAATATTTACATATTTACAATAACTAAAAAAGAAAAAGTTAATAGTCATATGCAGTACAATCTAAAATAAATGCATACAATGTATTTATTAAAATTTTGAATACCAAAATTAAATTTACCAACAGATTTTTCAAATTAGCATAGAATTTATATACAAACTGATTACGCCATTAGGAGCAAATCATTTTACTCTGTATCTGAAGGAGTATCTTTCAATTTGTTCCTTTGAGGAAGAATTATGAACTTATACAAGAAATTTTAACTATCTATGAAAGGAAATTTATATTTATTACAAGATATCATGTTCACTAACAAGGTACTTTCAACAAAATTCCAATTTTGTTATCGAAAACCATGTACAATCCTAAGTTAGGCTTAACGAACAATTATTATAATCAAGTTACAGGAACTAGACTAAAAAAAAATTCAATATATTAAAAAGGTCGCCGAAAAGAAAAGAATATTTCAAATAATCAACAAGTTTATTACAAATACATTATATCCAACATTACTGCTTTTCACACTGTACAAATCATGCACGTGTCATATTTAATACCTGATTATAAAGGAATATACATCTTTAAATCATAAAACAGAATAAGCATATATATAATTAAGCATACATATAATTCCTGAAAAATATTACTTCTTTCTTTTAGACTTATTAAAACATACCATTATTAATTCTTATATATATTACTTATATATTACTAAAACTTTGGTCCTTCTCAAACGTTAACCAAAGATGTTGAAGTATGTTGCCAAATGAGAGAAATCTAACTTCGTTGATATTAACCCAGTGCAATAGAGCCAAAGAATATGTCTTCACATTCTTTGATAGAGCAGTATGCCTCAAAATTTTATTGAATGCTTAATTTTTAACCATTTATTGAAAACATTATTGCATTTATTTTCGTTTTATACCATAAAACTGCTTTCTATGAATTCGCAAATGAAAAAAAAATAATACATTTATATTTCGATATTAGGTTTTTTAAAATGGCATTCGATTTTCTCATACAGATTTGGAACCCAGCGAATTTTGAAGTCAAGTCATGGATTGAAATCTAAAATATCGTGAATGAAGTCGTTTGCTTCATTTTACATCGTTTTTATGAAACGTCATTCTCGGTTCGACTCCCAGAAAAAGTGATTACAATTTCCGCTGGCATGTATTGTTAATTATTTTTTATCACATATGTCTTTTTTTAATAAAAGTATGGCAGCTAAATTATGGTAATTGGAGAATCGAAGTTTGAAATTAGCTGTTCATTTTATGAAAAACCTGAGAGATATATTTGAAGTGTGCAAATAATTTTAATGTTTAGAAGACATTTTTTTACCTTGTAACTGAATGAATGTCCATTAATTATTAGCATTTTTATAACACATTTTTATTTAGCAAAATATTTCGTTGGAATGAAATAAAAAATTATATTTTAATTAAAATTTATAAAGCAGATATTATTTTAATTAAAATTTATAAAGCAGCTCACATTCGTGTTTGGACCTTTGTGAATGATACTGTGGTGACACTTGTGAGGATTTTAACACTTTGAAGTTTATTTATAAAAATTATCTGTTACAATATTAAACAGTTGACTTTTTTAAGGTATTGCCATTTCTCACTTTATTAAAAAAGTGCTAGAAAGGAATTCACATAAGTATTTGAACACTTAGAATGAAAAACTAATATTTAACAAAAATATGAGATTAAAAGTATTTATTGCTTATATGAATATCTTTTAGGCAAAATGAACCTTTCATTCCATTTTAGCATAGATTTCAAACTAGTTATTTTGTTAATATTAATTTTTTCCTATTCCTCTAATAAAATTACTGGTTAATCTTTGGATTATGGTAACTTGGCAATTTTTTGGCGAAAATTTAGCGACCAACCCTGCTACAGCAACTTGCCAGTTTTTGTTTCGACGCCATTTTGTTTTCACAACATGTAAAGGTATTTTTTTTTTTTTTTTACTCAACATTTTTTTTCCAACAATCTGCTAGCCGAATTACGCTTATGCTAGAATTTTTATGGAAGAAAAGTGCTTAATCATGACGAAGATTCGGTGCGAAATTGGGAGAAAGTGCAGAATAGCAAACTGCTTGCCGCATTTTTAAGAATTGCACATACATGTTATCCATGTACACGTCGACCTATTTTCACTTAAAAAAACATCCCAGAATTGCACAAAAATGGCATTGTGTACACTCTTGACTTTATCCATGTACACTGCTAAAGTCCTAGCTAGTAACCTTTGTCGCCTTACCAAAATGTTGGCAAACTACCTGTTACCGTATTCCAAAGATTAGTGAAATTACTTTTAGTAGACTTCTGAAGGAATATCTGGAGAATATAAGAAAGTTTCGATTATTTCAGGACAGTTGTAATATAGCCATAGGTGAGCATTTAAAATCCCATGTTTAGAATTATTTTCACAGATCTTAAATGCATATAAATCATTTCAGGTTTTTAGTTTAGAATCTTGTTTTTTATGTAAGGTGTTGACATAAAGTAACTGCACTATTTTGTATAAATAAGAAAAAGATTATTAACCTTTGAAAAAATATTTCCTTTCAAAAAATTGCCAGGAAGTCAACATAGTTTCCCAACATTTCCTCAGGTTCATAAAACACTATTTATAGACATTGGAACTAACTGATCGCAAAATATATGGAGCCCTTCATTTAATATACAAGATGTTTTCAAATCCCTGTACATAGGCATATTAAGCTTTGGAAAAAGGAAACAATCAGCTGGTGATAAGTTACGAGAATGTGGTGGGTGATTTGTCACTGAATTGAATGCTTAGCAAGATGCTGTTGTACAGATGGTGCTGTATGAGGCCTAGCATTATCATGTAAAAGGAACCATTGGTCAAAATCAAAAAGTTCCTACCTAACTCGCCTTATCCTGTTTCTTAATTTAAAAAAAAAAAAAAAAAAAACTCTGTGAAAATGCCGTTTGATTAATTTTCAGGGATATATTCATGGTGAATAAGTTTTTTGTAATAAAAAATGCAATCTACATTACCTTAGTCTGATTTTAACATCCATGTATTTTCCTTTCATGGGGGAATACTGCCCTTTACACTGTGTACTTTCATTTTTTTTGTTTCTAGGTCATATTATAGATATCAGGTCTAATCTTTTGCTGTGATATACTTTAAGAAATTTTTGTCCTCTCTTTCAGTAGTTAGCAAATGTTGCAGCAAACTTTCTGTCTATCAAATGTTTTTGTAGATCTGTTTTTTGCTGTTCTATCAAAATCCGAGGCACAATCAAGTACTAACTTTCCTCATTTTCGAGATTTTCAATGAAAATTAGCCTACAGCTTTCTTTGCTTATCCCAAACTTGTTTGAAAGTTTGCGGGTTGTTACACATCTGTTGGCTTTTACCGAAGACAAAATTTCTCCATATTTTCACATTTTTTTAAGTTGAAGAGCATCCTATCTTTCATTTATCTTCAGCGCTTTCACATGCACATTTAAAGTGGTTGTACCACTCATTTACTTGTATTCTTCATAATAATGTGGCACCATATACTGTCTGAATAATCCGTAATGGTCTAGTAGCAGATTTACCTAATTTGTAAGAAAATTTAATGTTATAACATGCTTTATCTCAAAGCTAATGTTTTTGTACAATGTCTTTTCAGTAAATGATTTTTAGATATTTTTAGATCCAAATGACAAAATAACCAGTTTAAACTGGCTTTAATGAGAGTTCAGATGTCACTCTCTCTAAACATTTTTCTTTTCTTTCACTTTTTCATTCTATATATATGTATTCTTTCACTTTTTTATTATATAGTTCTGTCTTCTGGTGTGTCCAGTTACTTTATGCACGCACCTTGTATTTATGCATATTATGTCCTATATTATCTAAATTTCCATTTCAAAAGCAGCAATTCATTATACCAATAGCTCCATGTTCCTCATAAAGGAATAGGCTTCTTAGATTAATTTCTTTATTGGCTTTTACAACGTAGTACAGTACAAAGTCCAAAATCCGGGCTCGTCAAGACTTCGACGATTTAGGATTTGGGATTTTTGTGGATATTAGATCATTAGTTTAAATCTAGTAAGATGGCATGTAGAAATTATAAAATGAAAAATATGAAATTGTGATTTATGAAATAATGAAGTATTTATGATCTAAAGAGTATCAAAATTTACAAAAAAAAAAAAAAAAAAAGCTTAATATTTTTTTGTTTACCCTATAAAACATTTCGGTTAATCTTCGGATTATGGTAACTTGGCAATTTTTTGGCAACCAACCCTGCTAGTTTTTTTTTTTTCTGGACGCCATTTTGTTTTCACGAAGTAAAGGCTTTTTTTTTAACTCAACATTTTTTTCCAACAATCTGCTAGCCGAATTACGCTTATGCTAGAACTTTTATGGAACAAAAGTGCTTAATCATGACGAAGATTAGGTGCGAAATTGGGAGAAAGTGCACAATCGCCCACTGCTTGCCGCGTTTTTAAGAATTGCACATTATACGGTATCCATGTACACGTCGACCTATTTTCACTTAAAAAAAATATCCCAGAATTGCACAAAAATGACATTGCTCACACTCTTGACTTTATCCATGTATACTGCTAAAGTCCTAGCTAGTAACCTTTATCGCCTTACCAAAATGTCGCCAAACTACCTGTTACCATATTCCAAAGATTAGCCAACATTTCTTTCATTGTAAGTTGTTTGTTTTCATTTTGATTTTTCCGGATATTAGATCATCACTTTAAATCTAGTAAGATGGCATGTAGAAATTATAAAATTAAAAATATGAAATAATGAAGTATTTATGATCTAAAGCGTATCAAAATTTACAAAAAAAGTTTACTATTTATTTGTTTACCTTATTAAACATTTCTTTCATTGTAAGTTGTTTAACTTGCATCGAGAGAGGGCAAAATCTCAATTCCCCAAACATCGAAAACACCCGTATCTAAGAATTTCTCCTGGAATGCTTTTCCTTTCCCCATGACAAGTTGAATACTACAGCACTAACAATAGCCTTACTTAAGTCAAGCGACTTCTTTCTTCGACGCTTTGACACTGTGTGAAGTTCTCCCTTGGGACAGGATTGTAACTTCGGGTATCAAAAGCTAAACACTGACAGTAAACAAAGGAAAGGAAGGAACAAAGGAAACAAGGAAGCTACTTTTAGTAGCTTTAAAAGAATGATTGACATGTGATTTAACTACACCTGAAAGCAATGAGTAATGCAGTAACGTGAATGGGGAAAGCACTAGGTAGGAAATTATTCAGGTGTTTCGGGCGTCCAGCCGATGTCTGAATGCTCGGGCGTTTCGGGGGCAACTTCGATGCAAAAGAGTTAAGTTGCTTCATTTTTTTCTGCTAATACTTTCTCTTTAATTCTGTAGACAGTTGACTCGGGCAAACGCAGTTCGCGTAAACAGGCTCTCGCGCAATTTCGGTATCCCAGACTAATAACTGTAGCCGATTTTTGATCTAGTGACTTGCCTAGCATGTAGAGTTCCTAAGAAAATGGAAGAAAGTTCATGGCAGAGCAGTGAATAACATCAATAAAACAGGAACGAGGATGGGCGTATCAATAACATGCCCGAAAATAGTTGGAAAAGATTGTTCTGGAATAAAGTCACCGATCGATGTAACCGCTACACAACTGCAGGCGCTGCGCTGATTGAATGAAGGTGCTAAAAGGCAAGTGCAGAGTCATGGCAAGCTAGGAAGAAGGGGGCGGAATCAGGTGGATCAGAGAGCTACAATGGGTAACCAATCAAGTTGTCAGGGGACTGCCATAAGAAAGCAGTATAGTTTCAAGCAATTTCATGTAAACTAATGCTGGTACTTTGAGATAATATAAGACAATATCAAAAATCAGAGTAACTTTATTGTATACTCATTTTGTATCTGCTTTTCATGTTACACCACCCCACGATGTAAAACTCTAAAAAAGCAAAGTGCCACCTCTACCTTTATTACTTCACATCTTGTCTCTGTGACACCTATATTGATTTATATACTTCCAGGATCCCATATTTGATGACAACTGGCAAAAATCCTGCAAATTCATGCAGGCTAGGTCAGTATAACAGAGGTAAATGTAATGGAATAGCAGAGTAATTAAAATAAAAATAATTCAACGCAGTGCAGAGTAAACCAGAACTTAGGAGGATAAGGTAACAAGGATTATAACACAAACAGAATTTACATACATATACAGATACAAAGTAGGGCATAGAATCAGTACAAGATTACACATATTTTTCGCTACAATCATTCTAATTGCTGCGAGACAAAAAAGTCAGTGCAGGATTGCACATACATCATTTTGAATAGTTGGAAGATATGACAGGATAAATATACATACAGATATTATGATACACATACTTGCAATTTTTTTTTGAAATAACTGCAACATGGCCAAGTTATGATATGGCCAGGTGCATTATGAATTTCATATTTTTTTAATTAAATAGACAGATAGTAAAAGTAGGCAATTATCTGAGCACTGCAAGATAAACAGACAATTATCTGAGCACTATAGACAGACATAATCTCTTGTTTAGTTACATTGTTGAAGTCCTGTAACTGCTGTTCCGAGAATTCCGACTAACCTGTCAATCGAAATTTTCTCGTTTTCAGTCACTTCTCTGTCACTTTCTTCACTATTGGTAGCGGTATTGTCTGGATCTAGAACCATACTACAGATTTCACCATTTATTGATTGATTGATGCATTGTCATCACAATGAAAAACTTCTTTTATATGATCTTCATGTATTACTGCTTCTCCACGTTTCTTTACAAAATCCGTTAAAATTAGTGGACTATCATCATCAAATTTAGCTATTCTTCACTATACATTTTTGGCTATGTATCATGAGCGTGGTGACTAACGTCAAGTTATTCCGTTAAATTTTACCTTGCTTCTGTTGCGTCCCTGAGACAAGCCTGAATTGTATTAGTTTAGTTATTTATTATACTAATGTTTATTTTTTGCTTATGCTTAAGGCTTATCAGAGTTTGAATAAATAAATTCCCACATATACTTATTGAAGGCCAGTGTTAGATATCTTACCATCTGATACACTCTGTGGATCTTAAATTCTGTGACTCGGTGCGGCCATACAAGCGCTGGTGCTGGTTCTGGGTTTATGTGAATAACAAATCAGTTATTCTTAATTCAAATAGCTCAAATTGTAATCTTTGAGTCTATGAGTATCATCAACAAACTCTATATGGAAAGAATGGAATAGGGCAAGAATATGGATAGCATGTGGAAAGAAATTTTTGGTAAATTTTTTCCTCGTCAACATTTTTTAGTGCATTTAACTAAAATCTGTAATCATCGTCAAGTGTTATGTCAACATAAAAAGGTTACCATGTTCCTTTATTATTCAATTGCTAACATTAAAAAAAAAAAAAAAATTGTTTAGGCATTACTACACAAGTCATTACTCAAGTTGTCATATTTTGATAAACATGTGTTGATGAAAGGAAAGTATAATAAATAATGATTTGCCAGGTTGGCATCAGATCAACGATGTATCTATGCAGAATGTTTCGGTTTGAGTTGTGTGTAAAGCAGATATGTAGCAATGGAGCTGCTGATTGTACAAATTTATTCTAAAATGATTGTTTCTTCAATAACAAGGTATTTTATTTAGTGTCGAAGTGAAATTAAGAATCGGGACTGTCCAGATGTTTTATTATGCGCAGAGGGGGAAATCAAATGCACATGTGTAAAGCCTATGAGAAAAACGTTGGTGGTGGTTTTGAGGTCCGGATTTTAGATCATCCGGATTTCGTACTTTGTACTGTAGTTCATCCGTTTGATTCAATTATGTTAAATTCTGATTTACCCTCAATTATTACAATGTATCTTTACTTACTGAGGATTTTAACAATGTAAAATTTTAGTTAAAAAATTTCCTTTTTGCCACTCAGCATTTATAACCATATACCTTGATAACTCATCTGGTAATTTCAAGATTAATTTTTATTAAAAACTGTTTTTTTAATTCAGTTACAATTTTTATAAAATTAGCCTTAAGTTGTGCTTAACTTGTTACGAAATAATCCTACAATTTCTTGGTGTAAATGTAGTCCTGATTTTGACTGTTTTGACCATTCCATCTAATAGTCATTGTTTTGTTATTGTTACATCAAAGATAGTTTAATGCTTTGCATATACAATTTTTCACCAATGGGGTGATGGGTTCATGCATGTCATAAGAGGCAACTAAAATGGATACCCAGAGTCTGGAGGGTATAGCCAGGCACTCTGTCTCTGGGGATTATGACAGGGGACTGATCCTCCAAGGTAGGGATTGGGCATGGGGGTAACACCCCCATCCCAGAAAAAAATTCCTTGTTTCGAAGTCAACTAGAAAATATCCAGTGCCCTTCTCATGGACATACTTGGATAACCGGCCCTTGGCGAGGTTCCTAAAATCGCATTCGCCAACTTGGGTGATAAGTGCCAAACAGTGGGAAGAGTGCTTAGGTTGCTAAGCTCAGATGTTAACTAAGATAGGGAAAAGGAAAGGGATATTTTCTTTCTATATGTAGATATTTTGCATTTATGTGTCCTGACTTTGAGGATATATCTCTCTGATGATCATCATATGACTTTTTCAGTAGCCGTTTTGAATTTGCTGTTTAATTATTTTCTAAATAAATTAATTACACCTGTAGTTAGAATAAGATAATTTTCTTTTTATACAAGATGGCTCACATTATTCCAGGTGTATATACATATAATTAGTTTCTAAATAAATTATTTTAAAAAAATTATTTAAATTTTTAATTATAGACTTAAATAAATTAATTACACTCCTAATCAGAATAAAATAATTTTTTTATAGAATAAATATATTCTTTTCTAACTTATTGCTCATATTTCCAGGTAATTTCTAATTAGAATAAAAATTTTTTTAATTATCTACTTAATATTTAAATACGTGAGTCTGTCCATAACAAACAGGAATTAATTTCTAAATAAATTAATTGTACTTCTAATACGAATATATGTATATATATATCTGTATTTAACGAATATTCACTCATTCATTTGTTAAATTCAAATTTCATTCCTTGCAGCAGCGCGGTGCAAGAGAATTGTTTTAAATTTAATTTAACTTTACTGTTTATTCTTCTGAAACAATTATATATATATAGTATATATATATTTTAATTTATGGAAGTCATTTGTTAAATACTTTTTGCTAAGTTAATTAAATTTGTATTTTCAAATCTTTGAATAAGATTTATATTTATAGATTTTTCTGACGTGTTACTGATGTTCATGTTTAATAGTAATGAATATAATATAAACTCAAACTTCAAATAAATAAAACATAGAAATCTTTGCATCACTGTATTTGCAACAAATGCATAACTGAAATACATTCGCCGACTGCGTAAAAGTACTTCTGGTAGGGTTTGTACAGTCCTTAAAAGTCTTTAAATTTTTCAAAAAGGATTTTTGGTCCTTAAAAGTTCTTAATTTTGGTCAAAATGAATAAACGGTCCTTAATTTTGCTCATTTGATATTTCTTATCATTTCCAACGATTGCCATTCTAAGTGTGAATTGAGATTTCTCATGAATATGGAATTAAAATTGCACGGCTCTTAACCAATCTGTTGGCGCAGTTGGTGGACTTGCGTTGCAAACAATAAAAAACAATTAGTCACCCTAGAACGAAAGTATCGGGTCTCTCATTGGCTATTCACCCAATCTTTCGAAACAGGTGTTATCTATAAATTTAAGCAGATTGTGAAGAAAGCGTGAAGCTGAAAGTTCTTTGAGGGACGAAAGTGATGATGAAGGTGCTCGAGAAAAAAAAGGGGAGGGATTCTGAAAATATTTGCCAAAATTAGAACAATCCCAACCTAGAAGGCCACAACACCTCTGAAGCCAATAGGAACGAGATGCCTAGAAAGTGCATTTTCAATAAACTGTGGCTTCATCAAGCTGACTACAAAGATTGGATATTGATGGATGGCAATCCTTATTAAGTTAATGTGGTCTTCGTCTGAAACAAATTGATATTTCTAGAATGGGAGAGTCAGCGCTGAAAATTCACATGAAAGGTAAGTTTCGTTTTATCATTTCAATTTTTTTTACACAGTTTTGTTTAGCTTAATTTCTGTGTTTGTTTGAATTAAAGCCATAAATTAATTTTTGATTACCTTCTACGGAGTTTATTCTCTTTTGCACGTATATGTATAGGATATCAGGATTATGAGTTTACTTCTGCAATGGGTCTGCTATCGATTTTGCGGGACATCTGTTGGCTCCATTTCAATTTTAGGTTGCCAAGGGCGAATTCTGTAATACTAGAAATAGCTGCGAATTGTTTTGAAAACTAGGCGTAAAGGTTACCAGTGAGGATATTCTGTTTGGCATCAGTTTTACTAATACTGGCGATCTTATCACCTGCGCCGGCAGAAAAGTACCGAAATCTCATATTATGGATTTTTATGCAAGTTGCATATTAGGGGGAGATTTTTCAATTACAGCATTATTAACACACATGCCTCTGCTGAGGGAAAAGAAGATGAAGACAATGCTATGTTTTATGAACAGCTATCAGAATGTTTTAGGCACTGTCCACTTAATGATATTAAACTTTTACTTAATGATTTGAATGCTAAATTGTATAAAGAGATGGAGTTTAGACCCAACACCGGTATGCATAGTGCACAAGATAAAGGTAATGATGATGCAATCTGCCTCGTTGGGTTTGCTTTTGCATATGACTTAGTGATTGGTAGTACCTGCCTTCAGCGTAAAAATATTTACAAATATTTACTTGGAAGTCACCAGCTGGAGTGATGTTTACTCAGATTGTTAATGTCCTTATTGATACTAGACATTTCCGAAACTTGATTAATGTAAGATCTTTTAGAGGAGCTAATATGTATTCTGATCATTTTTTAGTTCTAGCTAGAATAAAAGAAAAAAATCGTCAATGCTAATAAAGAACGACTAAAGAAAATACAAATGTTTGATTATAATAAGCTTAAAGAGGAAAAAGTAGCCAGAACTTATAGCGAGACGTTGGGCAGGAGTATTTCAGAAGTACATATTGACACCCTTGATCTTGAAGATTTATGGTTTAGGTTCAGAACAACAGTATCTGATACTGCAGATGTAGTTTTGGGCCATAGAGCTCGAGGGAAGAGTAGTGTTTGGTCTGATGAAGAATGTAGGCTCGCAAATAAACAAAAGCTTGCCGCATACAAAACAACATTGTACTTATAAGGGGTTACCAAACTATTAGTTACAATTCTGTTTTTACTCTTGCAGGATTTCCATTGCTGAATTTGTTTTTTTCTGACCTTTATAGATTACAAAAAAAGTCTTGCAAACTACTCCAGTTCTCATTTTGATTGACCCTCAGGGGGCTCACTTTTGTGAGTATGGGTGTGGCAATCCCGAGGTACCCTAGCCCTTCAGGGGATCATCTTCTTGGTGAGACGGATGTCACGATCCTGGAGCCCCAGTGATCTATCCTCTTTTCCGTGTCCTCTCCTCTTGGCTGGATCTTTTTCCCTTCCCTTCTCCCTTGTGATTTCTCTCTACGGAGTTTGGGGCTCGTCACGAGAGGCTGGAACAGACCTTGTTTCTAGTTTTCGAGTGGCGAGAAAACTGTCCACGTGTTTGCCGTGCGTGGAGACCCATGTCGCTGGAAAGGAGGGTCCTGGTAGTTGAGGGGCGAGGTACTGTCCCCAACACACTGCTTTGGCCTCTGCTTCAGCTAAACAGGAGGCACCTTAGTCGTCCTCACGGGTGTCAATTGGCTGGTCACTAGTCCTTGTGTCAGTGGCTTGGGGTCAAGCTCTCGGGAGTACCTGCTTTCGGGAAAGCCGACTGTGGGGCTTCAGTTTGCGTATAGGTCCGGCTAGCCCTAACACAGGAATCTGTGTTCCCTTGTTGGGCTCCGTGGTGGGCGGGGCCGTCGGACCCGAATCTTTATTCTTTCACTATGGCTTCTCATATCTACTTAATAAAAGATTTCGAGCTCACTCAAGTCACTCAAATCACTCCTGTCACTCAACCTAGTTCTGAAACTTCTACTCCTAAACTAGTCACTCAACCTAGTTCTGAAACATCTACTGTTAAACCAGTCATTCAACCTATTTCTGAAACGTCTACTGCTAAACCACTCACTCAACCTAGTTCTGAAAAGTCTACTGCAAAAAAATTACGCACAGATACAAATAAAAAAAATCATAACAATAGTCCCCGTTTCCTAGTCATCTCTAGTCCTTCTGGCGAAATGCATAAGATGTCTTCTTTTGTAATAAACAAATACATCCAGTCCTGTATTGGTGAGCCGAGAAATATAAAGCGTCTCCGCTCCGGAGACTTGCTTATTGATACAACCTCAGCCACCCAGTCTGCTTCTTTACTTCAGATAACTAAACTTGGGCAAGCGAATGTCACTGTAACACCACATAAGTCACTCAACTATTGTCGGGGTGTAATCTCAGAATTCGACCTTCTGTATGTTTCTGAAGAAGAGATCGCTTCTGAGCTATCCGAACAAAATGTCTGTGGTGTAAGGCGGATCAAGATGCGTAAAGAAGGTAAGTTGATAGACACGGAACACGTGATCCTTACCTTCAACACGCCTGATCCGCCTAAGAATATTAAGGCCGGATATCTAAATATTCCTGTAAGACCTTATATTCCAAACCATGCGATGTTTCCAATGCCAGCGTTTCGGCCATTCTAAGACGTCTTGTCGTGGCAACCTTACATGCGCCCGATGCTCACAGATTGGCCACGATTCTGAAAATTGTACCGCTGCGCCTCTTTGTATAAATTGCAAGGGTGAGCACCCAGCATTTTCCCGCCTCTGCCCAAAATGGAAATTGGAAAAAGAAGTGCAGACTGCAAAGTTTACGAGGAACATCTCATATGCCGAAGCCAGAAGATTAGTCCAGAGCACACAGCTTCGACCAAATACATCATACGCCAGTGCTGTAAAATCATCTCGTACAGTCGCCACCCAAACATCAATAGGCACACAGACCCTACCAAATAAAACCCATCCGTCTACATCCAAGAAGCAAAAAGAAAATGCAACCCATATAGTACAAAAGAAAGAAACAGTTATTCAAAGTAAGCCCAACACTACTACACATAAAATATCCAATAAAAATAGAAGTCACAGCAATAGCTCTTTTGATGAGATGATTTCTGAATCTGTGGATTCAGACTTTATGGAAGTAGAAGAGGGTCTAGAAGTTCCCAGGCATCTACTTCCACGAAAAACAAAAAAACAGCACAGAAAAAACAAAAACCATTCATAATGGCCACCCTCATGTCATGGAACTGTCGCGGTTTCCACTGAAATTTGCTTGACATCAAATCTATAATAAATGTGTATCATCCTGTGTGCTTAGCAATACAGGAAACAAATTTGAAACCCGAACACCATGCAAAACTTCGAAGGTTTTCTTTCGTCAGGAAGGATAACATTGCAGGTGAGCGTGCCAGTGGAGGTGTAGGTCTCCTCTCCTCACTGGATTATCCCTCAAATGTACTTCCTTTGACGACATCCCTCCAAGTTGTCGCTACTCAAATAAATTTTGATATTGTTGTTTCATTTGTTTCTTTGTATTTGCCTCCAAATGAGCACATTTATCAGCAAGATTTAAATAATCTAATAGAGCAGCTGCCTGAGCCTTTTATCATAATAGGAGATTTTAACGGCCATAGTCCACTCTGGGGAAGTAAAGATACAAATTGCCGAGGAAGACAAATTGAGCAGATGATCGAAGATCATAGCCTTGTCTCCTAAATAATGGGCAAGATACGTACTTCCATGAGCCTTCAAGGACATTCCACGCTCTCGATCTTGCCATCTGTTCACCATCTCTGTTGCCATTTTGCACTTTTAGTGTCGGAAATGACCTGTACAACAGCAATCATTATCCTATTTTTGTGTCTCTTGCGCGAAGAGGAGCAAACCCCGTGTCGAGAGTCCCTCGTTTTATCCTGGACAGGGCAGACTGAGAACTCTTCTCTTCCGTTGCAGAGCTGACAGAGGAAATGGTAGAAGGTGTGCATATCGATGACGCTGTTGAAGCTGTTACTAATACTATAATTCAGGCAGCTATGCTTTCGATTCCTAAAACATCAGGAAAAACACTAAAATATTCGAAACCGTGGTGGAATCGCGACTGTTATGAAGCACTGAAAAAACAGAAAAAAGCATGGGGTATTTTTCGTAGATATCCTACTCTGCGAAACCTCATAGCTTTTAAAAGAGCCAAAGCAAATGCACGGAAAGTAAGAAGGTAGAGCCAGAGGGATTCCTGGATTTCATATGTGACCTCAATAACTTCCTCTACGCCTAGTAAGCGGGTTTGGGAAAGAGTTCGAAAAGCATGCGGAATGTATAAAGACCACTCACTTTCCTTTCTGGAAAAAGATGGTCGAGTGATTAGCTCCATAGAAGAAATTGCAAATACAATGGGTGAGACATTTGCTGCCGTTTCTTCCAGCCGAAATTACTCACCTGCATTTCTTTCTGTCAAGCAACGCTCTGAGAAAAATCCCATCGCTTTCAACTCTTCCAACTTTGAGCCGTACAATAGAGACTTTAATATGGTTGAATTAAAGAGAGCTTTGTTGGAGACACATAGGTCTTGTCCGGGTCTGGATGGCGTGTATTATGAAATGCTAAAGCATCTGTCCTATAAGTCACTGAGTGCCCTTCTCACACTTTACAATAGAGTGTGGAAGGAGCGTACATTTCCCAGTGCATGGAGGAGAGCTGTTGTCATTCCTATTGCGAAGCCAGGGAAAGACCCGAGGAATCCCTCGAATTATCGGCCAATTGCCCTTACCAGCTGTGTTTGCAAACTGTTTGAAAAGATGCTAAACAGCCGCCTAGTCTACTTCTTGGAAAAGAATAATATTATATCGCCTTATCAAAGTGGTTTTCGAAAGGGGAGAACAACCGTAGATAATATGCTCCTCTTAGAGACATCCATTCGAAAAGCTTTTGTAAGAAGAAATCACCTTGTCTCAATTTTCTTCGATATAGAGAAAGCCTATGATAAGGCATGGAGAT